ATTATAGCATTGAAAACAAAAAATGACACTGAAAACTTTACTGTACAAAGCGACCGGCAGCACTGTTTTCATTGATATTTGCGAACTCAACTCAAAGTATTAACGTAAACCTTAAACTTGCTCAATTTTTATAGCTTTTTGTCTTTATTATTGTCAAAACTCTCTTTCCAATGTTTTTTATCTTATCAGTTCTTGGGTTCATTTTTCTAATTAATGAGTGATAAACTGAGATAATTTATTTACAAATACTTTGTTGTCAGATCATTCAAAGCCGTGCCATGTTTACAATTTTTTGTGTAAGATTCTTGTCAGTTAACTTGCACTTTCTTTATTGTTTCGTCTGTTCTTACCGTTTAAAATTCTTCTTGAATACATGTGAATAAGTTGTCTTTTGAATTTTTTCTGTTCTTTGAGGGAATCCTTTTAACTTACCATCATTATCTCAGTAGTCAGTTGTTTGTCCGTCGTAAAGTTTGCACAAAACCTCAGCGAAATCTGACGGCCGCTTTTTCGTGTTAAAATTGTCATAATTCTTCAGTTTTTACTTATCTGTACCGTTCAAAACATCAATACCTTTCCTTGATACAGTCTTGTCTTTTCTACAATCGATTTTTAAAGATTCTTTTAGAGAACAAGCAGAGATTTCGACGAAACTTGACCATGCACTTGTTTATTTTTCGCTACTCGCTATCTATCACAGGATAGATAGTGAGTACGTTAGCATATCAGATTGCAGAATTCGTGATAGTATGCTAGTAGGTTTATGCTAAATCACAATCGTCAGCTTGTTCCTTGACGTCATTGCACTTTTTTTAGACTTAGGCTACATTAGCATCAAAAACATCGAAAAAGAGTTTCAAATTACCACTGTGTTACAGACCCTCGTGAAACAGCGGTCGAGGGACCACAAAACATACTGCTTTCCCGAGGTCCCAGTAAATAAGTGCTTTATTATCATACCAAGTGTCAAAGAGAACAAGAAAATCGGGAAGACTCCATGTTTAATCTGATGTTTCGTGAAAGAAAAGGTGTGAATGAATTTTGCAAACGCGCGCTCAAATGTGTTGCTTTCTGGTTTCCGGTTTTTATATTTTTTCAATCACGTGACTTCCGGTTTTGTTATTCCCGGTCCATAACATAATATTCCCCTCCCAAAATGGTCGCCAGGAAACAGTTGAATTTCTTCACGTTCACGTGACACACTCTAGACCAATAGAAATTGAGGACAATTGAACTTTGACACTTGGTATATAATAATAGTTAAAACACATATCCAGTTTCTGCAGTCTCGGCCACTTGATAACAAGTATGTGTACGTCGTACACATGTTCTAAAAACGCCGTCGTAAAAATTTCTACGGAGTAAAATAAATTTCTTGTTACAATATTGTAAAAAATCTTTTTATTTTATTTTATTTATTTATTTTTTTTAATATTAAATTCCGGCAAACGTACTTAATTGAGCCCAGCATATGTATGGAGTCGCTGAACGTAACAGAAAAAAAAGACGAAACGGTTTTTTCGGTATTATAAAGAACAAATAACAGAGATACCGAACATAAGGTCTTTGCGTAAAAAAATATCTCGAAGAACAACCCTCGAGATTCTCTCTCTCCCTTGCCGGGGCTAGTTCAGATTTACCGTCAAATGTGGTTACATTACAGGCAGTAGAATCTGATTGACAAATGTAATTATTGGGGTCTCTTTGATTATACCGCGACTGGTTGTGACTGGTTGGGAGATTATCACAGTCATAGGCGTCAACAATATCGAGACGAAGCTACTTTTTAAGCGAATGTAGCTGAACGTGAAATTATCCTCAGATGTATAATGCTTCAAATACGAGTTGCTGTATTGTATTGGGGTTTCATAATCCTATAATTCTATAATTCCATGAGGAATTTGAAACCCCAATAGAATACAGTGACGATTATTTGACACGACATCTTATACTCTTTTTGTTATGTTTGTCTTTATTTCAAAGTTCTAGTACTTTGAAATATTTCAAAGTCCGAGTAGTAGGAGTAGTAACTTTGAAATGGGTGCGGCGTATTTGACGGGGGTTTCATACCACTACACCTTGTACAAATAAGAAACCCTGGTTGGTCGATGAGCTCATGAATTATTAAAAGATGTCATATTCAGGAACCCAGTGGTAAAATGTTTTTGGCCCCGTCGCTCAGCGACAGCATTTTACCCCTGGGTTCCTGATGCGTGGTCATAAGGTTAGGGGTAGAAGAACTCTTTGACATTTACGATCTGGGCTGAGGGCCCGTTCGTGCTAGACCAACAATAATTGTCCGAGTCATTTGGATTCATAACAACAATTGGCTTTGTTTGGCCTGTTGTGTTCGCACTACAAGACACCAAAATCTGATCCACAAGAAACATGTCAATCAAAATGTAACACTATCGAGCAACATGACGTGTTTTTCGCAGCACGAGTGTTTAGTCTTTACATCAGTACTAAAATGTCGCCTCGAGACTTCATCATCTCTCTATTTCTCCTCCACGCTTTTTTGCAAGATCTGATTTACATGCAGCAAGAACAAGAGAAAAGAGAAGGAATCCCCGTGCCCCATCATGTGCACACTTTGATGCTATTTTTAGAATCATTGATGCTATTTTTAACTCGTTACCATGCCTGCGCGATAATCATGCTTACCTTTAGTGCCTCGTTTTAGGACACGAAAAGCGCCATATTTCGCTACGTCAACGACAAAAACACAGGCTTTGTTTACACTCAAGAAATCAACCAATCAGGTTCTTCGCTCAAAATATCTCCAAGCTAAAAATAGCATCAAACTGTGTACATGATGGTTACAAGGCTATACAGGTAGGATTCCTTCGCTTAGTTCATGTTCTCTTGGCAAGAACTTATGATGCTGCTCTGCCTTTTGAGAGTCTAGCTACTTCAAAATCAAATTGTGCTCTATATAAGTGAAGACGGCGACCAAGATTTCAGCCGTATTGGATACAACCTAGGCTATCGACTTGAGCATTAGCTGGGCCTTTGCCTTTCCCCTTTTCTTTTCCTTTTGCCTTTTTTGCCATTGCCATTGCATTGTTGTCATCTTGGACGTCGGTAGTTTGCGCGCCATTGCTATCTGACAATGTTTTGTTGGCTATTAAAGAGTTGAGGTGGATCCCTTTGCGATCCGTAGTAGTCATAATCATAACTACCAGAAAAATATAACATTTGCCTATAGGTCTCCGCCAGAATTTGAGTAGGGGTGTTCTGCTGGGATTTCCCCCTCCTCCCTCGTCACAACTAAAGAATCACGTGTACTGGTTAAAGGTGATTCATCAAAGTCTTGGTAGTTCAGAACTTTTCTTTTTAGCTTGCTTTGTTAATGTTACCGTGTTTTAGTTTTGCTA